GTGTGTGTGTGTGTGTGTGTGTGTGTGTGTGTGGCCAGCTCAGCCCACCAGGGGGCGGGGCTGGCTGTCATGTGGTGCTGGGGGATTGAACCGCAGTCCCTGTGCTAAGCTTGTTCTAAGTAGGTGCTTTAGACCACTGAGCCATCTCACCAGCCCCTCAAGTTTTCACAGTTTATGTTTTTCAGAGGTTTTAGATTTATGATAAATAGATTTGCAGAACTCTACCTGTATACCTTATTGAATTATTTACTAAAAGTTATAGTTCATATTTATAGAGTGTTTTAAAAATATTTTGTGTCTCTAGCATATAGGAATGATTGTTCTTTCTACTTGCCTGGAATACAAATTTCACTTTTTTTTTTTTTTGTTTGTTTGGTTTTTTGTAGCTCTGGGAATTGAACACAAGGCCTTGTGCATGAAAGGCAAGAGCTGTACCACTAAGCCACATCCACAGAACTAGAATTTGCTTTTCCTTGCACATTAAAATATAGAAGAGATAATGTTCCAAAACTGCCACATTTGGAAAGTATCATAAATTCATTTATATTGTTTTTTCTTTTTTTTTTTTTTTTTGGAGGAACCAGGGATTGAACTCAGGCCCTTGCACTTGCCAGGGAAGTGCTTATTCCACTGAGCCATCTCCCCGGCCCCTATATTATATTTTCTGAACATATTTTTCCTACTTAATTATAGCAAAATTCATTTTAAAACTACAACCCTGAAGTGTTTATGTTATAAAATTATATATAGCACTATTGAAAATTTAGAGGAGAATCTGAGGAACTAGTATGACAAATATTAACACAAATAAGTAGATTGACACACATACAGTATTCAGTAGCTCAGTGTTGAACACTTCCTTAGCATGCATGATAAGGCCCCGGGTTTGTCTAATCTCTGCATTCACAAATTATTATCTCTTCATAAAAAGTTAATATGGCAGTATTCCTGAATATATAATGCCTCCGTTTAACTTTGACATGGTTTTCCATGGCACTTCTTTTGCTAGAAGGCCACTATTTGGTTTTTTGGGAAAGCTGAAACAGCTTTTACTATGTGTGTGACACTGCTCTGTAAGTTTCAAGCTAATCACATATGGAATCTTTATAACCACCTTGTAAATAACTACAAATAAGGAAGCTTGTGATGCAGAGGGTTGGTAAGTCCTAGCCATGGTAACTGGGCAGTGGGGTGTACCTGGGCTCCAAAAGCATCTGACTTTTTTAAAAAAATTTACGTATCTTGTACAGGCTATCACTGCCCAGCTCGGACTCGTAGTGGTCCTCCTGTTTTTAGCCTCCCCGTGCTGGGATTACAGGTACCCCCCCCAAGGGGAGGGGCCAGCGTGCCATATGGTGCCAGGGATTTAACCCAGTCCCTGCACTTGCCTAACCAGGCACTTAGTCCGCATGGTTTGGATGTTTGAGACAGGGTTTTTGCTATGTAGTTCCAGCTGACCTTGAACTCTTTGCCTTAAGTCTCTAAGTTGCTGGATTTGTAGGTGTGTAAGTATATGCAACCACACATAGCAGTAAGGCAAATGTTTTTGCTTTAGACATCTGCAATAAATTCCTTCAGGGAAAATACATAGGGGCCGGGGAAATGGCTCAGTAGAATAAGCGCTTGACTGGCAATCGCAAGGATCTGAGTTCAATCCCCGGTTCTGCAAAAAAAAAAAAAA